TAAGCTGAGGTCAAGGGATCGACCCCTGGGATCTGCATCGGCTACTGCCAAAGGTGAAAACTGTTTCAATTCAGCTTAAACACTGCAGTGATGCAGTATAATTTACGCACCTGCTGCCTGCCTTGGATGTGCAGCCATCTCTCAGGCTCCCTCTCAGGAGTCGAACCCTGATCCTCCGTACCCCGTTACCAGCATGGTAGGCCTCTATCCTGTCATCGAAAGTTATTAGGGCGGAAATTTGAATGGAACAGCGCCGGCTCGAAGGCCATGCGATTGGACAGTGATGCAGTATGATTGTATGGGCTGATGTTTCACAATCAAGATTGGGTCCAGATGCTGGGCCTGTTCTGGAACAGTACTCCGGTTCTGTCGGCACGTGCCTGCCGGAGACAAGCCATGGCTCTGTGTTGAATCTTTGACGACTGTTGTGAAGCAGCGAGGTTCTTGCTCTAGTGTGGCACTCCTGCATTGATGTTCATCTTGTACCTCCCATTGACCTTATCTAATCTGAACCTTCGGCTCTACTTTGGATACGTCTCTCCCTCCAAAATACCTGCTTTGGAGATGTGAATAGTCTGTGAATTTATGAAAGCAACAGTGGCATTAGCTGGACCCTCTGTAGGTATTGGAAACGTGTTTAGTTCTTCGATTCATTCTGCTGCACATGGTTACGGTGCGCCTCAAATTATATCGCCTTCACTGGCCAACATTGCTTTGCACGGAATGGAGAATGCTTTGAATGAGTGAACAGCAACAGGCGGAGGCCACTTGATAAGACCACTCAGACTGTAGCATATCAGAAAGTGAAATGCACTGAGAGCCTAGGATCTAGCAATGACGAAAGTGGCAACAACCAGCAGCATAGGTGCAACATTCACAAGATGTCAATGTGCACGATGCAAAGAGTGAACCACGAGAAATCAACAACAACACATTCGTATCATTATCATCATGGGCTGGGAAGCAGCGCAGCGGAAGATTKMGTATYAAAAGGMCACGTGGACAACAACATGAAAGGGAGAAACTTCGGAAGGGCAAGACATCAGAAAGATTGCCCTTCCGCTCACACACATGGGGAGAGATCCATAGACCTGCGAGAGAGAAGGGGGAGGGACGTAGTAATCAAGTCCAACCCAAGTCTGATCTCCGAATGTCGTACACAGTTCAATCCCAATGTAGAGTGTAAGTCTGATCTGAATGTCGTGTCCAATAAGGCAGAAGGCCGTGTCCAAACAATGTCTGCAGTTACCTCTATCTCTACTCTGAGAAAGAAGAAGAAGAAGAAGAGGAAGAAGAACTTCGGAGGAGTAGGAGGAGAAGAGGAGAGGAGGAGAAGAAGAATTAGAATTAGAAGAAGAAGAAGAAGAAACCTAGGCGCTTTCTGCACTTACCTGGCGATGGCTGAACTGCAGATACCGCGGAGCCAGCTATGGCGCTGGTACAGGTAAGTCCTCTTCTCTCTCTCTCTCTCTCTAACGAACTCCACTACTTTCCTCGGTGCTGGACTCCTCCAGCGCTGTGCCTTATTGCCGATGAATAGTGCAGCTGCAGTCCCAAAACAGCGCAGCCTGTAGTCTCCTCATAGCGCAGCAAGTGAAGTCCTGAACCAGCGTAACGCTGGATTTCCCCTGGTACTTTCTGTCCAGAACTGGGCGTTGTCCCAGCTTAAGTAGTGCTGGGCCGGACCCAGTGAGTCCACGGCCTGCGTTCTGGACCGTGCAGATCGAAACTCCGATCCACGGTCCAGATCGCAGGCTTCAAAACTGGTTCAGTCCTTGGCCTAAAACGGCCTGCCTGGGTCCCTACCGGATGTCCAGGCCTTGCCCAGAACTGGGCCTGTTCGGTACCTGGTCCGATTCAGGGCCTGTGCGAATGCATTGGGCCTGAACGTCGGTCCAGGTCGGAACGGTCCGAAATCTGTCCGAAAACAAAAAAAGGTCCAAACGTTTTTAGGAGCTCAGCCTCTGGGCCTGAATCTGGCCCTGGTCCTAAAACGTGTACCTGGCCACAAAACGGACAACAGTACACACGTTAGAAAAACAGCAGCAAATAAATAAATAAAAGAATATAAAAATAATGTAAAGCTGGCGTTTTTCTGATGCAGGCCCAAGTAAAAATGCCATAGGGCCTTCAAGTTGCGGTGACGCGACCTGGGGGCCCTATTCCAACCTCGGGTCCCAACCCTATACTAGGAATCTTCCACAGTCTGACTCTGGTTTCATTGTGGACTTGGAAACCTCACCATACTTCGAATTCAACTTCAAACGTTTCTTTAGTATCTTACATCCCAGCTTTGGATCTCTTCTGAACTGAGGCGCAAAGCTGCTCAACCCTTAAACTAACTGGTTTTCATTCCTCACAGCTCTGGGCACTCTTGGTTTTGCAGTGTTTGCACCTGTTCAGATTCGGACAATCTTGACGTTTGGGTTGTCTTGGTCCTTCGAGACCAGTTGAAACTGGAATGATACAGAGTAGGTTAGCATGGCCTCTGCACAAGGATGGAACTCATAAATCGAGTAATGGTCCAATCGTTTTTAGAAAAAAGGTTTGGGTTGTCTTGATCATGGATCCACCGTACCACATCCTCCAGTTTCTTTGGACCCACTGGACCTCATTGCCCTCCAAAGCTAAGCACTAATATGCACTAACACCAAGTAAAGCAGAAGAAAGGTCTCGAGAAAAGTGGAGGACTGGCAGTGGAGAACGCTTTTGGAAGGATGTAAAATGAAAACAAAGAGTAGTTCTAAAGCGAAAAATGAATAGACCAAGTTGCTACACCCGCGAACTGTTGAAGCACAGACCCGAGATTTCGAATCCAGACGCGATCAGATGAACAGGATAACGTAATGCTGAATTACTTGGTGCCCGTCAGCTCAGTGATGATATCTGGAGGCCGTTTCCCTTTCGAAAAAAAAGAAGAGAAAAGAATGAGGGAGAGAGAAGAAACCGCAAAAGAGCCGGAAAGAAAGGGAAACTGGAGTGCAAAAAGAAGAGGAGGACGAGAGGAAGAGATAGCGAAAGGATGCAAATGCTGAGGATCTGGAAGAGAAAACATGGAGGGAAGAAGAAACACAGAAAAGAGGCAGTGGAAAAGGCAGAGGAAATGAGCGGAACCCTAAAAAGGAAGAGGAAAAGGGAAAAAGCGAACAAAACGTCAGGACAAGAACTAAGATAGAAGCACGAAACCAAGCAAGATAAAGCAAACAAGAAAGTGAAGATGGAAAGGGGAGGAGCTTGAGTAAGCATGATAAAGCAAACAAGAAAGGGAAGGTGGAAAGGGGAGGAGCTTGCGTAAGAGGGAGAAGTAGGATTGTGATGGGTTTAGGCAGGGGAAGGCATGCACGGCAGCATGGGGGAGGCGCTCAAATCACCAGTTCACACGAACCTGAGTAGTGCTCTTAGCAGTATACGTGGTAAGAGTATTTAAATTTGGGCCTGGGCCGATAGCGAAAGCAGCAGGCCACATTGAAAAGGTGCAGTTGCAGGCTTGCGAGCCTTGGAAGGTAGCTTGGTCAACTTAGACTCGTGTGAATGTATAGTTTAAGGAGGTTTGGCATGACAAATGCAGTAGGAATAATGTGTAGGAGCGGTTTGCAGCGGTGCCACGTTAAACTTGTGAGCGAAGTGCAGGTTGCAGTGGTGGTTCTGGGCATGGAGGAGACTCTTAACATTGACTCGATAGATATGGGACAGTATATGAGTGCATGTGGTGCTGATGTACAGTCCAGTAGATTAGTAATTTATTCACTCACCTGATTTCACATGGGCCTACAGACTTGCCTAGGTGATTAGCATTCTGTCTGTGATGCAGTGCAAAGTTTCCCTGTTGCTGTTGAGAGGAAAGGTAAAAGGAGGGTGCTGTTGCCAACGTGGGACAGATGTTGATATATTGGTCTTTGCATGATGTGGCTCAATGTAGAAGTTCACGAGGAGGAAGAAATCCCGGAGGAAGAGGAGGTGGAGAGTGAGGTCTCAGACGACGATGAGTTTGGGGATTTCATTGACGACGCGACAGGCCATTCACGGTAAATATCACTTGTCATTGCCCTCATCCTGGTTCCTGTTATGTGTTAGCAAGTTATATGGCAATCACGAGATGGGTCTGGTTGACGTATCCATTGCAAAGATCCCCGATTAATAATAAGTTTATAACCTATGATGTGATCCCAGTGTGCACCACTTCACAAGTGGCGCGCATCCACTGCAGAAGGGGATTTGGGTTTGATTGGTGGCTTCACAAGTGGCACATCAACTGCAAAAGGGGCTTTGGGTTTGATTGGTGGCCCCGATGCGAATGCCCCAGACTAATCGCAGACCAGTTACGGATGGCCTGCGAAACAGTATTTCGGTCCGTGGAAATTTGAGAGGGCATGCATGCTTGTTATCGTAAAAAAAATGCACACTGCAAATGATTTCTGATACAGTTGCTGTGAAACAACAGTTCGGTCTTTGGGAATTGGAGTGGACAAGCATGCTTGTTCTTGTTATCATAACAAAATGTAGACTGGAAATGATTTCTGACACGGTAGCTTTGGGATAATTTTTCCCTGTGCTGGACATGGCTTCTGAAGGTCTCTAGACTCTCTACGTTCAAGTGGCAGTCATTGGTCGTCTTTCTGCACCAGTGCCCCCTGTAGGGGATGGACACTTACGCTGTCCACAATTTTGTTGATGATGTGAAATTGTTGGCTTTACTGCGATGTGAAATCGTTGACTTTTCTGCAATGACAGGAAACGGAAGCCAAAGAAGCATGGTGAGGCAAGGGCATTTGCTGGGTTGTCCTCTAATGCGCTCCGAGAAGCGCATGACATCTTTGGCGACGTCTCAGATCTGCTGGAGCGCCGGAGGCGAAGAGAGGAGCAGATTGCAAGGGAGGATGAGGATGATGTGCTGGAGGAGGATGGGTACGGGAGAGGGCTGCCTGGATCTAGGAACCTGAAGGCGGTGGCTAAACAATTTGAGCCGAGCTTACTCGAAGCTAAATTTTTGACTGATCGGGATGCAAAGATCCGGAACAGGGATGCTCCAGAGCGAATGCAGGTAATACCCCCAATCAATTGTCGACCGCTTCTGGGTCTTTGTCCTATTTGGCCGCTGTTTATGGCCATTCCGTTTTTGTCTTTTTTTCTGTTTCTTTTTGTGAAGTCTTGTGGTAGCTCCTTGAGTTCTCTTTGTGTTGATTGCAGTCACTTTAATTTGTGTTTGCCACCAGTTGCAGGTTTGTCAGATAGAGTACGATGCCAAGGTTGTAGTGTCTGCCACACCATGATGCCATCTCACAAACGGACAGGTGTGCGAGTGATGCTGCTCAGCATTGGCAAGATCAGTCCATCTGTTGTCAAACTCCTCTGCTTCGTGTTTGACCCAGTTCTTTGTTATTGC